AGGACTTTGAATGCCAGCGGATTTTGTATTTGATCCTGGAAGTGAAAGGAAGGCAATGGACTTTATTTTATGGGAGTGGGTGTGAGGTGGGGGTTTCAATAGTTGAACTTGCACTTGAAAAATCACTTTACTGGATGGCTGGAGTTTAGAGTGGGAAGATGAGGCAGGCAGACACACCAGCAGGCTATTGCAGTAGTCCAGGTGTGAGGTGGTAAGGGCTTGCACTAGTGGTAGCAGGGTTAGAAAGGAGGCATATTGGAGAGATGCTGATAAGCCTTGGTGACAAATTGGAGATACTGAGGAGTCAAGGATGACACCTAGGCTGCCAGCCTGGAGGACTTTTCTATATGCTTGGATAACAGAGAATCCCCTTCTCTGCTATCTAGCATGTAGCATAGTGCCAGGCACATAACAAACATATAACAAATTGTTGTTGGCAGATTAATTGCGTATGAGGCTGAGAACTTCATTTTGCTTATTGCAAAGGAGTAAATGTGATGTCCAATGTCATTTAAGCCAGATGATTGTAAGATAAATTCTATACTGATTCCTATTAATTGGTTAATATTGCACTAGGCAGATGTTGGATGTTTATGTGTGGGTAAAAGTAGGAATATAGTAGGTGATTCATTCAACTACTAAAGCCAAGTTCATTACATTAAAGCATATTTTGATTAATCTCTAGTTTATTACGTGACAAAACAGAATAAGATTCAAAACAACACACCTAACTACTACTAGTCAAGTATCCTTGCTAACTTCCCTCTATCAAATAGTACTTAACTAAATCTCTTCCTATAGGCCTGCCCTGACTGAGATTGCTTCTCAATTAATGCTTACCTTCTGATCCTATTTCTACCTGCTTATTGCCTCCTTATTACCCTCTTCATAAGGCAGAAACTTCACTGTTCTGACTTTCCCTGCCATGGTGAAAACCTTTTAAAATTTCTCCCAGCAAAGGCCTTATTTGACCTGTTGTTCTGAGCACTTAGTCTCTTATTGATAATTAACCCTATGGCTTACTCCTCAAAATGCTTCAAAATGTAGAAATGTACATAAAAAAATCCTTTTTTTTTGCATGACTTCTCCCTTTTTCATTTCATTCCAAATAATTTGGGGTTGCAGTTAACATTCAGGGGTTCATTTCTATTTTACAAGCTAACTCTTGCTGATCATTTGCATCTTCTTGCCAGAGACTTCTCGAATGGGTCAGGTCTTCCCCTCCCCACCCCTTTTTTGAATATTTTAAAACCTACCCAAACTCAACAATAACATTCACAATAATGTTAATACAATATTATTTAAATGTTTGCCAGGATGAGCCTTTCAAAACAGCTGCAACGTTCTGTGGGGATTTCTACATGACTGGTGACAGAGGATATATGGATGAAGATGGATATATCTGGTTTACTGGAAGATCAGATGATATTATCTTATCCTCTGGGTAATTTTCCTTTCTGTTCTCTATATGTCCTATTTAGACTGAACATTGTTATACACAAATAAATCTACCACTCCCCTAGGCAGTATATCAAGTGCTACCAAATGCTCTGCTTTTCAGATATCGAATTGGTCCTTTTGAAATAGAAAATGCTCTAGCTGTGCACCCAGCAGTCCTGGAGTCAGCAGTGGTCAGCAGCCCAGACCAAATCAGAGGAGAGGTAAAAGAACACCATCCACTTAGCCTTGGAACTTTTGCATCTAACTATCAAACTGCACACTTTCCAACAGTATTATAATGTACTGCCCTTAAGCAGAATTTAACGGGATTAATTTGTTAAAAATTCAAGTTAGTTAGAGACCAGGTTGGGTTTTAAGATCTGGTTTTGCAAATCTTCTCTATTTAAAAAGAAGTAAGACTCACAACAAAGGGCAAACAGTCTTCAACAGAGCTGCAGCCCTCTCATCATCCCTAACTCCAATGCAGCATTATATGGTGGGATAGAGGCTAGATTTTAGAATCTTTTAAGTGTCCATTTTCTCCCATTCCTATGTGAACATGGTTTGCAGGATTACTTCCAAGACAGTCCACCATATACCACTTGGTACATACAACTTATTTGCATAAAGTGTAAACTACTTAAAATCTATACTAGAAAGTCACAATTCATTAGATGCTAACATTTTCCGGTTAGAGACAATGAAAACAAGGTAAACCCAAGGCAGGATCACAAGTACCTAGCAGATCTCATGTTTCTTAGAATTATTTTTTTTTTTTAAGGTAGTAAAGGCCTTTGTGGTTCTCAAGCCTGACTATAAGTCACATGACCCAGAAAAAATGAAAAATGAGCTTCAGGAACATGTCAAAAGAATGACGGCACCATACAAATATCCCAGAAAGGCAAGTATTTGAATTAGATTGAAGGGCTACTTGATATTCTGTCCCATGGTCTTGGGAAAGAGGACTTGTTTTTTGTTTGTTTTTGTTTTTAAATAAGCACTATGCTCAAATATTAATGCAGCAGACAGAGCACTGGGCCTGGAGTCAGAAAGACCCAGGTTCAAAATCAGCCTCAGATACTTACTAGCTGTGTGACCTTGGGCAAGTTATTTTACCCTGCTTGCCTCAGTTTCCTCATCTTTAAAATGAGCTGGAGAAGAAAATGGCAAACACTCCAGTATTTTTGCCAAGAAAATCCCAAATGGGGTCATGAAGAGTTAGACATGACTGAACAACAAATGCTCAAATATGTTTTGCAATGTCCTAAATTGATTCTCAAGAACTTGGGGTTGGAATTAACATCTATAACATTATAGTTCAACTATTCCCCATTCCCCAACCCCAATTTGCCATACCATTCGGCTCACTGGCCTTGTAGCAAGCTTCGAGACCAAATCCTTTCAAACAAAATATGAACCTTAATAGTGTTTGACAGTTATAAAACACTTTATAGATTTTAAACTTACCTAATCAACATTCTTTTAAGGAAGATACATGGTGATGAATAAGATGCTTTGGAAACCTTAAAGAATGACACAAATGGGGATTATTCTAATTTTCCTCATTTTACAGGTGAGGAAACTAAAGCTCAGAGAATCTAAAGTGACTTTCCTATGGTCAGATAGCTTGTGTTGGAACTGTAATTTGAACCCAAGTTTCACTCCAAGCTCTGTGCTCTCCTACTCTAGTACTAGGCATTTAAGACCTTGATTTTACCATCTGTACCATATATGAAATTTGTTTAGTACAATTTATTTTAGTTATTAAGTGCAGAATGCTAGAATAACACTTTCCCACCTTGATACCAATAGGTGCAATTTGTTCATGAGCTGCCAAAGACCATCAGTGGAAAAATAAAAAGAAATGAATTGCGGAAGAAAGAATGGGGAAAAGTCTAGTTTTACTTGATTACATAATACCATAATACCTGTAAAACCCATATATTTTCTGGAACTTAAACCCTAAAGATGAAATAAATAATGGATGCTTCATGGATTCATGGTTTTATGAACATCTTGTGGTAGCAATGTTACGAAGTAGAATTCTGAAGTAAAATAAAATATTCTGTGATTGACTCTGTGATTTGTCAGTCTGTTAACAAGCATCTGTAAAGAGCTTACTACATGTTAAGACATTGTGCCATGTCCTGGGACCAAAGCTGACTCCCTCACATCCCACAGCCCCAGGTTGGAAGTGGTAATGCCGTGGGCAATTCCTCCCCCAAAACAGCCTGAAAAGGATATGGAAGTTGCAGAAGTGGGTCAAGGCAGTGGCTTCTGCAGTTGTGTTAACTGGGGCCTGGCAAGTGCCATTGCCATTCCCCACCTCCACGGGACAGGACAACTGGCTAGTTCTCCTAACTGCTATCTTACTGGAAAGATTTGTATTTTATTTTAGGAACAAAAAATGCTTCTAAAAATGTGTTAATTTAATTCTGATAAAATAAATAATCTTAATGTCACCATTTTCTTAAAAGGAGGCCTAAAATAAATCCTTTTGTAAAGCAAAGAATTATTTTTGTAGTGCAGACAAATTAGGTTCTTAGTAGTTATCAATTTTGAAACTTCAAGTATTTAAAATATTCAATATTGAGTATGTATAAGGAAACCACACTAAGTAGGGTGCAGCTTAAGTGGAGAAGTATGAGACATGGTTCCTGTCCTTAAGCATCTTATAGCTGAGAAGATAAGAAATAATCATGAAAATAGTGATGTGAAGAAACAGTGAAGGCCAATTACAATATGGAGTTGGTTTGATGTGAGAATTAAGAGAGCCAACTGGATTTCATCTCATGAACAATGACTCCATCTTGTGCTGTTACATGTATTATTCTCCATCTTGTTTTTCTTCAAATCACTCATGGGAAGATAGATGGCATAATCCATAGTAAGATGATATACTACAGATAGTATAAAATGCCAGGGGGATGCAATTAATTAGCATCTCAATTCTGGGAAACCTACTCACCCCCTCCCAACTCAACCAAAACTCACTCTTCCCAACTTGGAAAATCCATAATCTTTCCTCCAATTAGAAATCAGATTACCTAATCTTGTATCCTGGTTTATATCCTGTTAATTCTTTTAATGCATAAAAATCTGTCTTCTCCTGTATTTGGGTCCAGTGCCAAGCTTAGGAGTCCTAGTCCCAATCTGTTATGCAATTGGCATGCATTGCTTAAATCAATATGCTTGGAAACTCAAACCTTTCTTTCCTCAGTTATTTCAGATTTCACCCATTGCAAATGTTTAAGTAATGGTAAGAAAATGATTCTTACTAATAACCTTCTTACCTTTTAAGTTGCTCTGAGGTCAGCCCAAGAATTCAACACACACACAGAACTATAATTCTAATAAGATATACAGATTTACAAGTTAGTCCAGCTCTTCAAATGCTCATTCTTTTAAATACTAACTAGCTAGCTCATACTACTTTTTTTAAAAACTTACTACATTAGTCACAGGATTATTAGCATGTTTCTAGAAGTAAAAATACCACTGAATGAAAACAAAGTAAACATTATCATTGTTTTTATTTAATAATTTAAAAATCCGTTTCAAGCTCTAATTCAATTTTAAAAGGGTTTACATGTCCCAGCACAGCATTTGAAAAAAAAAAGTACCCTACAAAGATACTTTACAAAACATTTCATTTATGATTTTCTTCGACAATTACATAATACCTGGCTGAAGAGTTCGTGCAAAAAAAAAAAGGCACTAAAATAGCATATGTTTAGACATCATCCTGCTTTAAAAATTGAGAAATTTTATTTTATAGATGAAGAAATAGGCACAGTACTGAAGAACTAACAACCATAGAGTAAGATGATAATTGAAGTCCAGTTAGTGTTGGCGACTAAAGTTCAGACTATCTTGAATAATATACTATAAAATTAATTTTCTTTTTAAAAATAATAATTATAAAGCCAAATATAATGCCAGACCTTGTTGGGTCTTTCAAAGCACTTTCCAAACAAATTTCTTTACAAATTTACTTCTTTAATGTTTTAGACTTAAGCAGGCACATTCTAGTCTATAGGGTTCAGGAATACCCATTGAGTTTCCTTATAATTTGTAGTACTACATATCTTTTACATTTGTTGCATTCAAAACCCATTTAAATTAAAGCAAGGTTTGCAAACAAAGAGAGATGATATTCAAGTTCTCATAGATGGCCTGAGTTTCAAACATTTTTCAGGAGAAAAGATTAAATTTCTAGAGGAACTACAAGTTCCAGGAGATCTAAAATCGATCCCTACTGTGGAAAGAGAGCAATCCATGCCACTAGTTCTCTCCTTTTGAAGTGTTTGCTCCCACTTAAAATAACCACAGTTCTTTCCATTCTTTTGGTATTTCCCAACAGAACAACTATAGAAGGCTTTGCCATGATTTGGTCCATTATTAGAAACAATGAGTCTTTTAGACCTTCGGCCACAGTTACACAAAGGAGGTGTCATTTTCCCACTCTTCCAAGGTTCTTTCAGGTTGACAATGGATTTTAAGACAGAAGGTGTCACCTTCTGAAGTGAATTTTTCACTGGCGAGCATTGAGATGATGTAGGCTTTTCTTCATGTATGGTGAACGACTGCTTTTTTGATGGGGGGAAAGCCTGGGGACTAGAAGACTTTCTTTTAATGACTACAGAGTAAGGAGTCTGTGGTTCCCCCAATGTTGAGGGAGGAGACAAAGTAGTCTTAGATCTGCTCAATACATTTACTTTTAGGTTAGGTAACTTAAAAGTATCAACATTTGAAGGCTGTTTTGGGGATTCCTTTACATTATAAATAGTAGTATGAGGGCTTCTGTAAACAACAGACCCTGACATTTCAGGGCTCTGTGATGCTTTTCCTAAACTTCCCAAGTCTGCGCAATTTATCATTGTTTGTTTTTTTAAAATCGTTAACTTTTCCCCAGGGTCCAATGAAGTGCCTGAGTTTGAGATATCAGTGGGAGGCACAGAGTCTATTTTCTGTTCAGGCCATGAAGCTGGCAGTAAAGCTACATCCTCCCAATCAGCAAGCATTGGCAAACAGTCAAGGCTAGTACTTGTATCTGTATCAGAGATATTGTTAACGGATGAAATGGTGGTAGAGACGAGCACTAATCCTGAACCCAATGCTGAAGAATTATATTTAGGATTATGGGTAAGGTATTCACTTTTTATTTGGTTTTGGCTGTACCCTGGTGAATTAGAATTGGGTGGCTGCAATTTCCCAAAAGGAAAAGAAGATTCATTAACTGAGAAACAACTTTTAACCTCACCGAGATTTCTGGTGCTCTTTAATGGTAAGTAATCTTGATGTATCTTTAAAAAAGAACTCCTGGAAACTGACTTTAGATGATTTTTTCCATTAGGATTTGTGGTATTTTTACTGATGTTAATTTCACCATCACAAAAATCATCCATGCTTGAAGTCTGGATTCCATTCTTATGTCCAAGAGTATCTTCAGTCTGATTCAGATTTAAAACTCTGGCAACACAATTGGGACTCTTCTCTGAATGTGGTACCTATAAGTTTCACAGACAAATCCAAGAGCTTTGGAAACTAGGTGATCACAGTTCCTACATTATACTGTATGACAAATAAGAAAAACATTACTGATTGCCTTAAAATAATTATATTTAAATTGTTTGCTTATTTAATGAATCTATATTTATTCCCCCACCCTTATAATCTAAATGATAGAAAAAAGAAAGCAAGATACCACTAACTTTATCCAAAGATTTAGTAATTTTCATTATGCAACCATCTCTGATCATGTGCCAAGCCAGATGGGCAGTATTACGAGAATCATCTAATCCTAGGGAAAGAGAGAGCCAAATATTATCCCTTGTGATACTATAAAGAAATGCAAAAGAAATTTAAAAATGTAAACCAAGCATATTAACAGTATAATGGTTTGATAATTCTTAACCATAAACTTAGTGCTTATGCAAAACTATTGAAGTATTATTGAAAACTGAGATTTTCCCATTTTTTTTAATTAAAGAGTCAATAGTAATTTAGTCAACAGGCCAAAAAAATTCACCAAAACTTTTGAAGTAATATTTATTTGTACCCAATTCATTTTCCTTGCCCAATTCTTCACTGAATCACCATGCTCTGAACATGTTTTACTTCACTTTAGACTTCCAATGCAATATTCCCATATCAAGGACCAAAAATAACCACTAGATGGTAGCATTTTACTTCCTATGACTTAAGGACATGGAACCATTAAAGAATTACTATCATTATCATTCTACTTACCCATATGAAATCTTTTTCAGCATTTGAAAGAAATTGTAAATAAATACATATTAGCTATCTCAAATGCAATATATACTCTATATTTTAGCTAAAAATAAATCAGTTTTTAGATCTTTCTCACCAGAATGTTCTCGTCCTGAGAATTCTATTCCCAATTCCTGCAACGCACCACTTAGCCCTTTTGGCTTTCTCCTATAGAAAAGCTAATCAGATAAAAAGATATGTATTTATAAATACAGGACAGTTACTTGGAGTGATACAGATTACTAACCTTTATACCATGAAGACCAAAAGGACATCTTTAAAATGGATGCCCACAGCCTTCAACATGTCCAAAATTGAACATTCTTTTATCTAAAACCCTCCCCTCTTCCTAACTACCCTAATACTATCAAGAGTATGCAATCCTTCCAATTATACTCCCTCACCCCCCACCCCCCCACCTCCTGATCAAAACTTAGGTGTCATCCTCAGCTTCTTACTCCTTTCCCTATATCCAGTCTTCTGCCAAGTCCTGTCAATTCTACTTCATCACATTTCTCGTATGTGCTTCCTTCTCTACTCTGACAAAGCCATCATTCTGGTACAGGCCTATTTCACCTCAAATCTGGAGTCCTGAAACAGCTTTCTGGTTGGCCTCCCTGGCTCAAGCCTCTCCCCACTCCAGTCCATTCTTCACTCAGCTGTCAAAGTGACTGATTAAAGTATAGGTCTGACCGCGTCCTCTCCCTTTTCAATAAAGTCCAGTGGCTCCCTATATCAGCTCCAGGATCAAACAGAAAACCTTGTTTGGTTTAAAAAACCCTCCACGTGTAATGCTGGCCTCTTCCCGTTTTTCTTGTATTTTACTCCCATACATGTCCTCTACAGCCCAGCGATGCTGGCCTCCTCGCTCCTCCTTATACCAGGCGCTCCATCCCCTGACTGCACCCCACGCCCAGAACGCTTTTCCCCTTCGATTCAACCTCCCCGCTTCCCTAACTTCCTTCAAGTATTAACTGAAATCCTTCCTTTTGCGAGAAGTACTTTTCAGTATGCTTTAATGTTAGGCCTTTGAGATCATCTCCACTTTCATCATGAATACATTTTGTTGGCGTATAATTGTTTGCATGTTATCTCCCCCATCAGATTGTGAGCTCGTTGAGGGCAGGGATTTTTATGGCCTTTCTTTGTATACTCAGCTATTAACATGGCATAAGCACTTAATGAATGCTTGGATTTTTAAGAATTAAAAATCATATACATATATATGTACCATTTATAAAATCCATATTCTCTCCCTTTCATCCCCAAACTTCCCCCATAATTGAGAATGAAATAACAACAAAAAAGAAAATCAAGAAGTGGGCTGGGTCTAACCAACAGGAGACTGTTGTGGGACTTAGCTATTACATGCCAGCTGGGAAACTCAGCTAGTTCAGAGTGACAGAATTGCAGTCTTCTCTTTGGTCTGGGATGCCTGCCGTGGTCATTACCATGCAGGTTTAAGCCTGCACAAGAAGCTGAACTAAGACCCGGCTCTGGCCCTGGGGTCTGAGCCACACCACTGCTGCTTGCTTCTAAACGTGCTCCTCTCAGTTGCACAACTTAATCTAGAATGCCACCCCAAGGCCCTGGATAGTGAGCAACAAAACTGGTACTTGGTATTGGTTCCCACTCCTCTACCTTGAAGGGGACCGAGGTGCCCAGGTATGGGTCTAGGACCTCCTCTTGCCCTAGTATCCAGCCTCTCCCTGTGCTGAAGTACTCTTCAGAATGTTTCTGTTCAGACACTGTCCCCAGTGTCCACAGCCCTCTATGTCTCTCCCCCTATTCTACTCTGGGCTAGACTTTTTCTTGGATTGCCTCATTAGGATTCAGTCTGGTGCATTTTCTAGATCTGTTTAGAGGAGTGCTGGTAGGAACTCCGTATTTCTTCCTGCTACTCCATCATCTTGGCTCTGCCTTCAATAAATACTTGTTTACTTGACCAAGGATCAACTTTTTTTCCTGATTTTTAGCTCTGATTTAATACATGCATCTTCTTTTTATTGTTTTTAGAAAATTTATACATTTAGAAAATTATTTATTTGTATCTAACATAGTACTAAATATATTAGAAATATAAGAACTTTCCAAGAGAAGTAGTATGGTATATTACATAGGGCAGTGGACCAAGAGTCAGGAAAGTGTGGGTTCAAATCTGGCTGCAGACACTAGCTGTGTGATCCTGGGCAAGTTACTTAAACCTTTCTCAGCCAAGGTTTCCTCATCTGTAAAGGAGGATAACAATAGCTCTTACCTCACAGGAATTATTAAGGATCAAATGATATAAAGTATGTGAAGTGCTTTGAAAACCTTAAATAGTTATATACATGTAAGCTATTATTATTTCAGAGAAATATCTTTTAAGGAACATGAACATGTGCACATATTTTGATTCTTACCAATGATTTTCTCACCTTATAAGTTGCTCTGAGGTCTACCCAAGAATTCAAGAATACAGGCTTTCTCAATTGTTTCCGTCTACATTCATATTCCAAGCAAACTCCCAAGTCCCAGTCTACGTAAAATAAAGCAAAAATGTTATCACTGTTTATTTCCATTCTCACCAGCTATATTTATAGTTCCATAAAAAAATACTGGAAGATAGAGTATAAAGCAGGGGTAGGAAACCTGTGGCCTTGAGGCCACATGTGACCCTCTAGGTCCTCAAGTGAGGCTCTTTGACTTCACAGAACAAATCCCTTTAATAAAAGGATTTATTCTGTAAAACTTGGACTCAGACAAAAAGCTGCACCCAAGGACCTAGAAGGCCACAGGTTCCCCACCCCTGGTATAAAGCATAATAAAATTATAACTCACTGGTCAGTGCTAGTGAATGAGATCCTTTTTTTTTTTTTTACAAGATCAAAGAATTTACTGCATCTTAAAATACAATTGTCATATTTCATGTAGCTAACTTTTAAGAAATTTGCCTGATGTGATAGAATTTCTTAAGCACTAAATAAGACAAACTAAATGTTTTCAGAAGAGAAGAAAAAAAAAACCTTACATCTAAAAAATTTATAAGCGTTCAGATAGGTAAATGTTAATATAGTATTCCAACACTCTTGTCTCACAGTTCCTTAGTGTCTTAAACTGTAATGAGCTTTATCTCCAGGTTCAACCATTCACAAGCACAGACACATCATGGACTTCAAACTGGTTTCCCCCCAAAACCACAAATTGTAATAGTTCCCTTGTCTAATCACAACGACATGTCCCACTCCTTCTTTTGCACCATTCCTGTTCTGTTCCCTCACTGCGACTTCTAGCTCCTGGATTCCTCAAATCTATCCCAGTTAACCTTCATCCTGAAACATTGCAGTAATGTTCTCACTAACACACTAGAATTCCTCTCCCTTGGCTATATCTGCCATTTTGCCAATCTCAAAACTTAAGTGATCAGTCTATGATCTTCAGCTCTACTGCTCACAGACTGACCAAGGTTATTAGAGAAAGACACAAAACAGAGCAGAATGACTCCAAGTCAATTCAGCAAAACAAATAACTGTTAAGCATCTGCAATATACAAAGGGCTGTAGTACAAGAATCTGTGTGGAATAAAAAGATGAATAAGACATGGCTCTTGCCCTTAAGGAGCTTAAAATGGGAAATGACGTGTATAAGTACTTTTAACATGATACAGAATATGGCTGACTCCAATGAGAAAGAAAAAAGACTGGTGTGGATGTATAAGAATGCACCAGTTAACCTCAACTTAAAGAGAACTGTATAGAAAAAAGAAGCAAGAGTAACAAGATAAAAACAAAAAGCTGGAGTTCTTAAGCTCAGAATGAGCTGAGGCTGGTACACTGAACACTAAAGACAACAAGGATTGTTTTGTTTGGTTTGGTTTTAAGCAATACTCGAGTCAAGAAAAAGATGGAAGAAAGGATAAGACTGCTCCTAAAGATGGATGCAGTGATGAAAATGGGGAAGAATGCAGAAATTCTCAATCTTATTCTACTTCTGTCTTCTCTACCAAGAAAAAAGGATCTTTGGACTGGGAAGGTTGGAACAAAAATGCTTAACAGGGAGTTGAAATCCAAGATAAGTAAAGGGGGTAGTAAGACCCTAATTGTCCTCAATGAATTCCATTTACCATGCCCAGGGTACCGAAAGAACTGGTCAATGCAAGTGCTGAAAACTTGTGGAGAATGGAAGAAGGGCCACAGGGCTGAAAAGGGGTAAATGTCCTAAATTTTGAAAAAGAGAAGTGGGTAGAACCTGCAAACTATAAGCCAATGAGCTTGACTTTAATAATTTGTTGTAGAATTTTTCTGGGAATCAAAGAATGATTTATGAAAATTTTAAAGTTCAATTGATGGTTTTTTTTCCTCCATACCTATCATATCATTTCTCTGTAAATGCTCCTTTCCTTTAACTCCTACCTTCAACCCTCTCTTGTAACAAAAAAAATCATTTCACCATTGGAAGTCTGATGGTAAGTACCACATTCTACATCTTTAGTTCCCATAGAATCTAAATCAATTCTCCAGGGCCAATATTAAGATTGGTCCCTGGATTTGTGAATATTTAAAAAAGGAAGCAGAGCTCACAAAGAGTCATAATGGTTTCATTAGCAACAGATCATACTAGACTAACCACTGATGTAGAGAGATATCTGTTCAGGTATAGGTTGGAGTATATGACTACTCAGGTCTCTCTCAACTCTGAAATCTCATGATTCTATGATAAGTGCATGAGACATATGAAGTGCAATGGGAAATCAGAAGAAACGATACTTTTATACTGGTATAAAAGATCAGAGCGATCTGAGTGGAAGTGATAAATTAGAGCTGGACTTTTAAGGATAAGCAGTATTTTGTTCTACCCTTACCAAAAAGGGGGGAAGGGGGAGTAATCCCAGATGTAGGGAATTATATGGAGACAGAAAAATGAAGGTAGCACAGAAAATGGAAAAAAGTTAATAGATGTGACAGATCTTGTAGAGGAATATGAACAAGTGATTAGATATGGGGATAAGAGTGTGGGAAGTAAAGAAGAGAGAGGAGGCATATATGACTCCAAGGTTTTAAATCTGGGTGAATGGGATAATGGCAGTGCAATTTGCAGAAATATCAAAGTTCAAGTTTAACGGGAAAGATGAATAATTTGGTTATGGGCATGTTACAGTTACTTCTGTCTGGTTTCCTATTCATTCCTTCTTTTCTGTAAACTATCTTCCAATAGGATTGTTAGATAGATCTTCCTAAAGCCCAGCTCTGATCAAGACCTTCCCCATACCTAAACACCTCCACTCTAAACTCTGAAACCTCAAAGAGCTCACATTGTCTACCAAATGAAATCTAAATTCCATAGACTGGTAGTCAAGGTATTCTATAATTTTGCTCCAACCTCTCTTATCTACTTCATTGTTCCCTTTAATGTACCCAATGCTCCAAATTGGACTACACATCATTCCTATAACATTCCACTCTTTCTGGCCACCGTGCCTTTGCTCATTTTAAAATGTCCTTTCTCTCACTGCTGCCTTTCAAATTCTTATCCATCCTTCAAGGCAGAGCTCAAAAACGGGAATCCACAGTCCAAAGGGGCCAGCTAAGTCAAAATGAGGTTTAGCAAATTCTACAAACAACCACATCTATTACCACTACATAAATTGAAGGCCAGGGGAAGAATCATTATAGAACTGAAAGAGCAAGGAAGGCTTCATAGAGGCCTTATAGAGGCAGCATGTGAGCTGGCCCTTAAAAGTTAGTTAAGTTTTTAATAAACAGATAGATGTACCTTAAAGGAGGGAACAGAGATACATATTTCAGAAATAGGGAATGGTTTGGGCTAAATTATAAATTCCTTGGGAACTGAGGTAATTGTTAACTCCACTACACCCAGCACAATGCCTTGCACAGTGAAGCTACTTAATAAGCATGTTGAAAAGATGAATGATATAGGAAAAATATTCAAATATTATTACCAAATGAAGATACCCAATTATACCAAACCACTGCTACACAGTAAAAAGAGCCTGCTTTATCTCTCAACCTCGGGAATTTCAGAACACAAACATGAAGTGAGGCCTCTCCTTATTCAGGTCTGTGGATGGAGAAGTTTTCACCTTTGCATTAAATTATCAGAGTGAAGACAAACGGTCCAAAAATTTCTCAATAGGATGAAATTTAGAGACACATGAATTTAATTAACTGAGCTAACAGACACCAGGCACTCTATTTGGGGGATGGAGGAGCTGATCCAAGAATTACTGAGTAACCACAAGTTTCCTGCACAAAAAAGTAATCAGAAATAGTGCTTTTCATCATGATTAATAAGCCCCTATTATGCAGTTTAATCTGAACAGCATATCTTCCCTTAACAAGAACATGCTTACAATAATTCAATACTGATCCCAAACCTAAGTTATCTGTACCTGACCAAGTAACAAATGCACATAATTTTACTTCTGAAGCAGAATTATTTGTAACACTGGGAGCAAAAGTTATCTCCTTCTGCTGTTGAATCACTTGAATCCATTTGCAGAACTGTGATAAGCAAATCTTCAGAGGAACTCCTTCATCCACTTGAGCCTAAATATAATACCATAAAAACACATTCAGATATTAACAGGTTTAGAAATGTGCATATGAGTTTTTTAAACGGAAAGACTGGCAGTAAAAATCAGCCCCTTACAGCATACTGGACCTTACTATCACAAACTATAAGTTGGGATAAATAAAACTAAAACCATATGGTAAGATTATGACAACAAAAATAATTCCTCCAGAATTTTCAGATGGAAGACAAGTTTTTGTTGTTTAATTTCCATAATAGTATTTGATATTAATTTCCTCCAAGCCTATTCCTTTTCTAATATACACATACCAATAAATAACTACATATATACATGCATGTATACACTTGCATTAATAGATATTTGGGAAAAAAGACATTTTTCTCAGTTTTCATAAATTTAACTCCAAAAGGCCTTCGCTTTCTAGTTTGTTTCCTCTGTTTCTAAATTTTAGTATTTATGCCATACCTGTCTTATGCCTGTCAGTTCAACACAAAATTTGGAAAGAATTGGATGTTCCTCAGGCTGGACATAGGTCTGGAATTCAGACTCAATCTCTCCAGTTAATGTATTTAGAAGGACCGCTGGAAACTCAACTAAAAAAAATAATGATCACTACATGTTAAAAAAGAATTACTAAATTAGCACTGTAACTACCACAAATTTAAAAACATAATACTATTATTGTATTTCCAAGTAAGTCAGGATAGAAAGAATGGTGCAAGGTGATATGGTTCTTATAATAGGCTCTATCACAGGTGAAAGTCCTGAGATCATATAATTTGTTCTCTTCAAAATAAAATTTTGACTATACTAATCAACTAAGCTAAGCATGAAGACAGAAAAAGTGGTGAGAGTGTTTTCATTCATAGGATTACAGGATCACACATTTAGAGTTAAAACAGACCTGGGAAGCCATTTAATTCAATCACCTCACTTTACAGAGGAAGAAATTGATTCCTCCTTCAGTAAATCATTTATTCATTACCTGGAATATCAGTATTCTTTTATAAGTAACTGGCATATAAATGTAGAATTTTCTTTATTAATACATTTAGGAATTAGTATAAGAATGATTTTTTCAATCTTTTATTTAAATTAGATTAATTTTACAACAACACACCAATACATAATATATTTTACTTTGAAAAACAGCTGACATTTCTAGTGTTAGATTCTAAAGTTATTCATTATCAATGAACACATATTAAAGGTGCAAGTCACATACATAACATTTATTAAGTTTTATTTCCTCTACAAAATATAAACTCAAATTAATCTAGTTTTCAACCTTAATTAAACACAGCTTTTGACATATTGTTTCAGACTTACTTATCTCCTGGCTATAGTGGCGTTTCCCATCATTCCAGCATGTTGACTCAAAATCAATGATAATTAAGTAGCCGAATAACTGCTCTGCAACAGACCAAATTATGGTTATGTTAGCAGTACTCAAAATGCAGTGCACTACAAAATAAGATGAAAGTAAGCAAACAACTTACTTGACCTGATTCTACCCAGACTATCCTTATTAGCCGGACTGATGGACTTCCTCCTAATTAATCCAAGTTGCCTAAAAAATGTAAATCAAAGATAATCATTAAAGGAGTATACTGGATCTTTCTTTGGCTACACATTATGAAAATGAACAGCAGAGGGAATACTATTGTGCTATAAGAAATGATGAGCAGGTTGATTTTAGAAATACATGGGAAGACTTGCATGAAATAATGAAGAGTGAAATGAGCAGAACCATAGCTATTTCTGGGGCTCCTTTACCACAAAATTGCTTGTGTAATCCTTATCAAAACAGGCTTGAATAGAAGGCAAAATTATCATTAATGTAGTATAGTCTGTTATTAAGACTAATAAGTCAGGAGACTGGATTCTTCTTGTGACTTCTTCTCTCTAAGTCTCATTTTCCTCAACTGCAAAATGAGGCTAATGGCTGCAGTAATGTGAATAAAGTTGAAATGGTAATGGAAAGAGTCCTGGACTTGGAATCATACATGCTTCAGAAAACTGACAAAATCATCTCTCAGAGGCATAAAGTCTGATCCCCGGCACAAAACTTTTTATACCCCGACATTTAAAGTCCTCTACAATCTGGTCCTCACCTACCTTTACAGTATCATTTCACATATCTCTTTAACATAGTCTATATTTCATTAACATAGTCTATATTTCAGTCAATTTGGACAATTAAGCTCTTCCCCAAACTTAACATGCCATCTTCCACCTCTATATATTCACCTAGGCAAGGCCCATGCTTGGAATTTCTCATCATCTCTGCCTTTCAGAATCCTTAATTTTCTTCAAGGCTCAGATCAGGAGCCAACTTCTTCAAAAAAGGCTTCCTTGATCCCCATCCCCCACCCCTTCCTCAAATATTCCTAGGACATGTCTCTTTTCTTTAATCCTATCACTCTTAACCCTGAAGTACAACTATTTGTATACATGTCATATTCTCCAGTTACTCCAAACAGAATCTAAACTTTCTGAAATCAGAGACTGTCATTTTTATTGTATCCCTAGCACCTACTACATTGTGTCAAATTCAAAATACGTATTTGAAGTCAAATATGAACCACTATAGAAGTACACTATTATTCTTGCCTTTGTATGTGTGTATTTCATCCAGTTAAGTATTGGGTGACTGTTACATGGGGGGAAGAGAGGAACCACAATAATTTTTCAACATCTTGATGGATTAACAGTATAGGGATCTCCACCCCCAACCATCTTGTAGCCTAATAATAGAAAGTCTCAAAATGCTACTGAAGAAACATAAAATAAACTATGCAAGGACCTCCTTCACAATTCCACCCAAGCATTTTCACTGCCTGGAATGCTCTCTCTCCTCATCTCTGCTTCCCTGGCTTCCTTCAAATCTCAACTAAAATCCCCCACAAGCCTTAATGCTGGTGTTAATTATCTCCAGTTTATCCTGTCTATAGCTTGTTTTTACACAGTTGTCTGCATATTGTCTCCTTCACTAGACCCTGAACTGTTTGAAAGCTGGGGCTGTCTTTTGACCTTCTTCGTATCCCCAGAGCTTAGCATAGTGTCTTCCTCCTACCCCCAACCAGGCAACTGGGGTTAAGTAACTTGCCCAGGGTCACACAGCTAGTAAATGTCAAGTGTCTGAGGACAAATTTGAATTCAGGTCCTCCTGACTCCAGAGCTGGTGTTCGATCCACTTTGCTAGCATAGTGTCCAGCACACAGTAGGGAAAAATAAATGTTTGAATGGAGTCAGAAAGACTAGTTCAAATCCAGCCTCAGGCACTAGCTCTTTCTGACTTAGTTTCCCAATTTGTAAAATAGGGCTAATAATAACATCTATCTCCAAGGTTGTTGTGAGGCTAAAACTATGGTATTTGTAAAGGACTTCGCAAACATTAAAGTACCTTATAAAGTGCTAGGAAGGGACAGCAGGTAACATCACCTTGAGGTTTACAAAGCGTTTTATGTCTCGCTTGATCCTCACATCAATGCGGTGAGGTAGGTGCGGTTATCCCCGTTTTACAGATGAGCAAACTGAGGCTGAGAGGTTCCAAGATCCAAGAGGTTCCAGGTCAGTTAGTAAGCCTCTGGGACAGGATTCGAACCGAGGTCTTCCTGACTCGAGTCCAGAAAAATACAGACGCACCCCTGGCCTTGCCCTGACCTTTCTGGCGCTCTGGCAACAGCTCTCCTTCCTTCGGGGACCAGCACCCTCTAACTTGCTCGGGGCCGGCCAGGGCCGGCCCTAGGTCCGGCAAACGCTCTCCACAGATGTGCGCATGCGCCCACGCTTGCGCCCAGACAGAGTACTCTAGGTGGCCCGAAAGTTCCCAAAGCGCCCTCCCTCTCCTCAGGGTTCGCGCGCGCGCACACGCACGGACACGGACACGGACACACACGCATACGCAACATACACACAAATATACCGGGCCAGCTGCTTGGTGGCCATTGCCTCCCCAGCGTTTTCGGCTCTCCATTCCCAGTTGGTCCACCTCGGAAGCCGACAAGAAGGAACTTCCCCTCGTTTCGAACTTCCCGCGGCCTCTGATGGCGTCATTTCCGCCAGGCTTTGCTCCTTCCGGCGAATCGATGTTTTCCGCTCCTCCATTGGCCAGGCCTTGGGAATTTCCTTCGAGGTTTTAGTTTGGGGCCGCGTCGCGGGCTGCGTGCTGGCGCGTGGACCGGCAGCCCACCGAGGAGGTGAGGGGGGGAGGGGAGCCTGGGGAAGGGGAGAGTGGCGGGGAGGGGACGGCGCGGCTTCGGGGGCGGGGGGAGAAGCGACCCGACTGCACCAAGGCCTCCTCTGGGAAGGGACTCCTTTGCAGGGCCAGGACGAGTGAGAAGGGAAAGGAGGAGGGGGACGTGGGGCTCCGGGCTCCGACCCCTCCTCCGTCCCCTCCTCCGTCCGCGGGTGTCTTCAGCGCCTTCGGGCCCTTCCTCGCCCATCCCCCGCCCCGCCCCCACCAATGCTCCTGCACCCCCCCCCGCCTTGTTTTCAGCAGTTTTGTATACATTTGTATTGATTGACTTTGTTGCGTTTATTTAGCATTATGTTGTCTGTATTTTATGGCAGTCAAGAAGCATTTATTAGTCGCTTACTGTGTGCCAGGCACTGTGCTAAGTTCTGGGGATGCAAAAAGAGGCAAAAGACAGTCCCTGCCCCTAAGGAGCTCACAGCCTAAATGGGTATTTGTTTCCTTATTAGATTTAGAATAATGATAGCATACATGTTAAGACATACGTGTTATCATTATTATGTAACATATATTCATATGTAAATACATATGTGCTGTCATTCAAATGAAGAAAATATATATACATATATACATGTATAATGTAAGGTTTGCAGAAGGCTTTATGTTATCTTATTTTACTCTCATCACCACCTTTGGAGGTGGGGGTGATTATCATACCCATTTTACAGATGAGAAAACTGAAGCAGTGATGGTTACATGACTTATCCAGGGTCATACAGCTAAGTAAATGTCTGAGGCTGGATTTGAACTGGCACTGTACTACGGGACCCAGTTACTAAGAACAGCAGCAACAGCTAGTATTTTTACTAGCCACTATTTATTTACTCTTCATTTATTGTGCTAGCTGCTATTTATAATAGCTGCTCCACTATTTGTTTATTTAGTATTTATATATTTGGGGAGTTTCCCAAAAGTCTCAGTGCAATTTTAAGCTGTTACAGTTCAAAGTAGATGTGTGACCCTAAGCAAGACACTTTAGCGTTTTCTGACTTAGTTTCCTCATTTGAAAAATGGTGCTAATAATAGCACCTGTCTCCCTGGGTTTTTGTGAAGATAAAATGTAATGTTTATAAAGCACTTTGCAAACCTTAAAGTGCTATATAAATCCTAGCTATTTATAGAAGGTGGATGGAGGAAGGCTGGTAGTAATATATAGCTTTAAGGTTTACAAAGCATTTTATATATGTCAGTCTCATTTGATCCTAACATGCACCCAGACAGATTATCTCCTCTTACAGATAAGGAAAGTGAGCTTCAGGGACGGGTCCCCAAGCACACAGCTGGAAAACCTCTGAGACAGGACTCCAACTGAGATCTTTCTGACTGCAAGTCTAGGAGTACACAGATGCACCTCTGACCTATTTAGTCTGTTTAAGTTGTTAGAGCTTAAAACTCTGCTAGGACTTTCTGGGATACCTATAACTCTTTAAGGTTTGCAGTATACTTTACATCTATCATCTCATTTGGTCTTCACAACAACATTGTGAGTTAGGTGCTATTATCCCCCATTTTGCATGTGAGGAAACAGGTTGAGAGAGCAGTTGTAACAACTTGAATTTATATAGCACTTAAAAGTTTGAAAAGAGTTTTAAAAAATGTTCTGACATTTGATCCACATAACTACTCTGTGAGTTTTGTGCTGTTATTGTCCCTTTTTTTTTACATATAGGGAAACTGAGGTAGAGAAGAGAGAGCTAAGTAGCCTCTCCAGGATTCCACTAATGAGAATTCTCTGTACTTGTATCCCTATAGCATATAGCACAGCACAGTGCTTTTTTTTTTTTTTTTAACATTAGGTGCCAAGAATGCCCTCAAGGAAATTAACTACATCAGACATGGAGGGAGGGAGGATGGGGGGGGCAGGGTACAAGTTGTAAATATAAGGAAATGCAAGAATAATTAGAGAGGAAGAAATTACTAAGAACTAAGGAGTTTTTGAAAGGCTTCCAGCTGAAGGTGACAGGTAAGGTAGCTTTGGATTTTAAAAGACTGAATCCAAGAGAGGGCAGCATTCTAAGCATAAGGAGTAGCCTATGTAGTCAGTCCATTAACAGATATTTATTAATCACTTCAATATTCCAGGCACTGGGGATGTAAGTATAAAGAATGAAGCAATACTGCCTCAAAATGAGCTTACATTCTGATGAGGGAGACAACACTAAGTACCTAAAAGTTATATATGGTAAATGCAAGGTAATCTCAGAGGGGAAGGCTTTTAGCTCCAGTGCTAAGTGACTTACCTGACTTGAAGTCACATAGCTAGTAAATGATGGATCTAAGAGTAGGATCCAATCCAGGCATACTGAATCTGGCCACGGACACCGTCTTGTGACCCTGGCATAGTAGACAGTTTACCAAAGAATAGAGACTGGAAATGGAATGGGCAAATGGCACATATTCCAGTATGTGAAATGAGCCTGGAAAGGTAGCTGGAGGCAGGAAGGGAATGACTTTAAATGCCAGCTTGGGAGATTGCCTTTTATTTCAAAGGCACAGGGGAGCCACAGAAGCTTGTTGGGCAACAAAGTGATATTGCCAGACCTTTGTTTTAGCAAGATTATTAGTGGTTGTAGCTTGGTGGAATATGGGTTGCAGTAGAGGGAGTGGTAGGGAGCCAGTTAGGAAGCTGTTGCAATAGACCAGGTAAGAAAACCACTGGTTCTGGAGTCAGGATTTAAATTTCAGTCTTGCCTCTCACATTTTCTATCTGTGTTACCTTGGGCTAGCCCTTGAGATCCCTTCCAAGCTCTAGACCAGAGATTCCTAACCTTTTTTCTGTCTCAGCCCCTTTTGGCAGTCTGGTAAAGCCTATGAACTTCTTAAAATAATTTTTAAAAATTTCTTAGTTGAAAAGAATGCCCAATTTCAGTTAAAGGTTAGTGAAAATAAACATGATTTCTTCCCTCCCCCCCCATTCCAGTTCATGGACTCCCTGAAATCTAATCACTGACCCCTTGGGAGTCATTGTACCCCAAGTTAAGGACCCTTGTTATCATTGTGGAAAATATCTTCTCATGCATTTTGATTTGACACCTTCATTAAGGGCCTATTATGTGCAGTACAGCAAGGTGATGGGACTGAAGAAGGGTGGCAGCTATGTGAGTGAAAGAATGAAAAAGTATTAAGGGCAACCTTGTGCCAAAAAACTGTTAAGCACTGAGGATACAATTACAAAACTGAAGATGTTGCAGTTTCATAGTGTGGCATGGCACTATCTCAAAGAATTAGAATCAGACTACTTCTCATCCAGGTACAGGCATTTATTGAGGACTGACACCCCTCAGAAGCAGGCTAGGCTCCAAGAGGAACCAGCAGCTTAGTAAGACAACAGGAAAATTTATAATGTAATGATGCTGATTACACAATAGAAATTATGAATATTAAAAAGGCAGGAGGGATTTGTTAAGGGATTAGATAACAGGAAGGGGTCTCTTCTGTGGTTCGATGGTCAAACATCCTGGTGGTGCTGCTTTCTGATTGGCTAGCTATTGTATTCCTGTCTGGTCAAGATGGGATAGTTAAGTATTGTGGTCCTGTCTTGGGCTAAGTGGATGGTGTGATTGTGGTTGGGTATAAGGACACACCTGTTCAAATATGTGAATTGGATGTGGGGGCAGTAGCTAGTTAGGGGCAGTGGCAGGATTGAATTTGGGGGCTTGAGGTGTGGTTAAAACCAGATTGTGTGGTTAAAATAGTACATGCCTGCTGTTTAGTGGGGCCAGGGTGGGGCATCTTGGTTGGAAGCAACTAGAATAGTGAGAGGACTAGACTGAAAATGTCGTACCATAGAAAAAGTGCTAGATTTGCAGTTAGAGATCTTGGGTTCAAATCCCAACTCTGCCGGGGCAAGTCATTTAATTTCTGAGTCTCAATTTTATCATCAGTAAAAATAAGAGATTTGGATTAGATGACCTCTGCAGTCCTGTTAAAAAATCTTTAAATCTTTAAATTGAAGGAGGAGGATTGCTATCACTTTCTCATATTCCAACCCCATTGCAATCCTCTTTTCATTGTTTTTAGTTGAAAATTATTATGGGACATAAAGTTGGGAAACAGGCAGGATGAGCTGGATCTCTTCCAGTGTTATATGGGGAAAGTTTTCATTCCCTCTCTGTGGTGCAGAAGCCCCTGCTCAAGGATGTGTAGAGCACAGAACTACAGAATTTTAGAGGTAAAAGGAGCCTCATATCCTTAGTCCACCCCACTCCAATTTAACATAGTTAAGATCATCTGTGATGATCAGAGAAAGCTGTATGGTATACAGATCTCTGCTTTAACAATACAGAAGAAATGAAGAAATCCAAATTTTACTGCACCAAGGGGGCTACTCACATAACCTTGAAATAAGACTGACCTAGTCCACCCCCTAAGCCATTGCACCATTTGTTGGACATTTGGGGGAGGGAGAGGGGAAGGGTGGTGGTACTACTGAAGGAGCCTGGCTTAGTCTGTAGACATGGGTCTTAAAAGTCACAAAGGATTCTGATGTAGATTATGATCTGTTGCCAGGGGGAAAAGGATCACCACAAAGAAGAAGAATGGATGCAGCCCTAGATGGGAAAAGCAAAAAGAGGAAGCAGATACAAAATAAGTTTTTTAGAGGGTCTGGGGAAGGTACAGCCAATGGGGATCCCGATGATGAAGAGAGTCAGCCTAAGTGGAAAGTAAGTACTACTATTATAGTGCGGGAGAGGATGGCACTATGTAGTAATAATGACAATATGTAAATATTAAGTACCAACTATTCAGTGGAAGCAACTCCCCCCACTGTGTGTACGCTGTTCTCTTCCCAACCTACTCCAGAAATACTTGTACCAAATGAGCTGAAGAACAAGCCTTGCAATGTCATGAG